TATAATAACACCAATCTAAATAGCCAAAAATCTTATATGGCATTGCATGAGACGTAGTATGAGACCGTTGATATGTAGCAATGTACTTACCCATGTCCAAAGATATCTCTTGTTCTGTCTCAAGTGATGGATGCATGATCAAATATTAGTGGCCTGTTTGCTGCAAGGATGAAGTCAATGGTACGGCATAGGCTTCGTAGTTTTGACTAAATAAACCTGCCTCCGTATGAAGTGAGCGAGTTTTACCTGCGCCGTCATTGTCTGGATCGTGCCTCTTTAGAACATGCAGATATCAGATCCCCATTCCGTGCGCCAGAGTTCCAACCAAATATATATTCTACATAGCAACTATATTTTTAATAGATAGTTTCTTTAAAATATTTTTTCAGTCATCTTTTTTCTCTCTTCTATCACCTGCCTATCGCTCATTTTTTCTATTATTAGTTCCTGTATAGATATTATATAAAATTAATTACTCTCTCTCTCTCCCCTTATTTCTAACGTCATACTTAACACTCTAATTGATGTCATACTCCATCCATCTTGAGAGTCAAGCTATCATAAGTTTGACCAATTCTAAGAAAGACAATAATATTTATATAATAACATCAATGAGTTTTTTTTGAGAGTGTGTTCTTGTGACACGTATTTCATTAAGCAGAAGCAGAGTTTTGACCGGTTACAACATCCCAAGTAATCCATAGATTACCGTGGAAGGACAACGCGACCCAAATAAACCTAACTTAAATTACGTTACATAAAAGTTTTGTAACCAATTGGATAGGTGCCAACGAGACTAGCAAGCCTCCTCGAACATACACTCGAACCCCGCTAGGTCGAAGTGCGACCCTTTTTGCGGAGTCGAGCGGGCCCTGAAATGTCTGCTAGAAGTTTACCACTACCTGGGTATCCGATGGCGGTGAGGCGGTGGGTTCCCACTTGGACCACAAGCACCTTATGCGCTTGAAGGGTGGCATTAGGGACCCGAGAGACACACTTTGCCGCCAGACGCGTGCTACGGCAGATGGTGACCAAAGATGGAGAGCAACGGGGTCGACGTCGGGATGACGCCTTGAGGATGGGAGTCTTCAGCGGGGTAGAGACGCGCCTAGCAAACTCGCTGGCGAGGGCCGAAGGAGAAACGTCGTCGTCGTCGTCCCTGGCGAGGGACGGAAACACGCTTAGCAAACATCGATGAGTTTTGATTAGATACATTATGAAATGTATTTTCATGACCTCTTTGAAACAGGAAAGAGCTTATATTTAATCAATAGCATGCTTAAAATCAAAGTCTAAGGCTACTGACGCATGCTAGGACACCTTTTATTGTAAATCTATCCAAGCATGACCCATTTCATTTAGGCTCCGTTTGGTAGGGCTCCTCTCCAACTTTGACTCTGTCTCCTCTAGAAGAGTCCTACCAAACGGTTTTGTATGAGCCGTTTCTCGATGGTAAAAAACGGTTATGGCTCCTCTAGAAAAGCCCTTGGAAAGAAGAACTCCCAAAATAGGTCATTTTTCCTCTTCTACGATGATGCAGCTTGTAGATCAATTTGGAGTATTGCCATTGAGTCTTTGGACCGTAGTTTGATCCAAGCCATAAAGGTTGAAAGAGTATTGTGGCCTGTCAAAGCAGCTACTCCTTCCAACTCAAAATAAACACACATAAATATTTTTATCTCTAAATAAATTTATTACGGAAGTACTCTACGGTTCATGTTATAATGTTTATTATACATCATAAATATTATACTTTTTTATGTATATATTTGGGTAAACTTGAAACCTTTTTGACTTTTGGATAGACGAGTGCTTCTTCAACCGAGAAACAGGAACGGTCGTTGGTCCCAACCCGAGAAAACGACCACACTCCAAGTATTCGTGGTAACACGGGCCAATCCACCGGCCCGCGGGCCACGGGCACCAAGACAAAGCAAGCCGTTCCTCAGCTTCTGTGTCCCCTAGGACCCAATCCACCGGCCCACGGGCCAGATAGATTCAGACATCCGAGGCAGAGCGCGTTGCTCTATCGCATACGCGCAATACATCGCCGGCTTTTCATCATAAAATTCATCAGAGAAAAAAAAAAAACGTCGTGAGGCTTTCGCAGGCTGCCCCTGATCCTGATCGCACGCAAACAGGCCCGCATTCTGGTCTCTGAATGGTTTTTTTAGCCACATTTGACGTTCACGAAGAGACCCTTTTTTTCCTTCTAACAAAAACAAAAACAAAAACAAAAACAAAACGAAGATACCTTTTTTTTTCTCTTTACCCTGTTTTATTTTTCATTCCTTTTTTATATAGTTCCTTTGTTTTCCTTTCCTCCTTCTTTCATATGCTTTTAAATTTATTTTATTTTCCTTTTTCTCTTTATTACCACCAAATTTAAATATCCCATGGTCATGTTCCAACATTTTGCTGTTTTTCTAGTATTTTTTATTTGTCTCGCGCATCATTATTTTTATTAGTGCAAAACATTTTTCTTGTCAAGGTACAATGATTTGTCATTATAATTTAGAACATTTCCTCTTTTGAAGTTTTAATGCCGAGTAAAAAATTTATTCGAGCTTCATATTAAGAATGATCCAAGTTATTGCAAAACATGCATGTTCCATCTTCATAAGACACAATTTCTCGTGAAGTTGGAACACTTTTTCCTTAATTTAAAACATTGTTCCACTTGTTCCACTCAATAAAAAAATGTCCCAATTTCATGATAAGAATGTTCTAGGTTAAAAATCTTCTTCGAGAAAGTTCATCAAATATAAACTCAAGGTCACTCTTGGTTTAAAGGTTTTGTAAGGAACTCAATGGTGCAATTAGGAATTAGTTTGAATACTCATTCAAAAACTACGATATTTTTAATCCATATATGCAGAAGGAAGGTGAAGGTGGCAGAGGTGATTTCCTTCTCGGCTGATTGGTTGCGTTGACCCATCGCGCACGATGCTACCGTTGCTCCTCCTATCGGTTGCCTACATCGGCTGAGAATTGCGTTTCCCTTCAATAGTCTTGAACATGTCACGGGACATTGTGCTTAGTGTATTTTCAATCATTTTTCGCGTCTTGTTTTATGGCGTCATGCTTTTTATCGTACTGATTGAGTTTGATGTTTTGCTTCCGTTGGAAGCAATAGTTGGAAATTAATTTAGATACTCGTTTGAAAACTACTATATTTTTTATCCAAATATGCAGAAGGAAGGGGCAATCAAGGATTGCAATATAATAATCATCCTAATTCTGCGACTTGTAATTAATGGTAGTTACCTTGTTCATGCCGAGTATAAATAAAATTAACCACCCGTGTCGGTGTCGCAGACTCACGGTGCAACTTGATTACTTTTGCTGCTCTTGTTAGATTACACGCAGCAGCAAGTGTACGTGCTGATGCTGCTACGCGTTATACTACGCCTACGCGATTTTTTACATCACGGGTCGCGCTCAGTACAAAGCCACAAGATTTCTTCAGCGCAGCGACAGGTAAACGCGGCGCCGATCGCTCACAAAAAAGAATGACGCAGTGTTGCTTGCTGCGTGAAGGAGGAGGAGCAGCAGCAGCAGCCTGTGCCATGTGTACATCTGTCGTGCAGGAAGGCAGCTACACGTAAGCGGCGAACGTGTCCGAGGTGGCGTGCCGAGAAGACGCCCATTCCGTTCGCGGCAGTTGAGGCGCGCGCCGACCACGCGGGGCGCCGCCGCCGCGCGCGTGTGGGCGTGCGCCGCGGCGCGGCCGGCACACGCATGGGATCTGCTGCGCATACCGGAGTTCACCGGAGTTCTGTGGCTCGAGATCGCACGAGACATTTATTCTTCCATCCCTCGGCTACTCCTACTACTAGCATTTCATTCGAATAGAGCGAGCTACTCAGGAACTGGAGACATCTGGACTCAGCTTGTCTCGGACTTGTAGTGGTGTACATTCAGTCCTTATATATATGGGTTCAAATGTCCAAGATTCAGACTACCGGTGCCCGATGCCTTACATCCCTTTCAGAATCAGCAGTCCTGCAGCCAAGGAGCCCACAAATCGTCGACACCGATGGTTCACAAGAAATCCAGGAACACACCGGGAGCCCCGCGCGATTCCGCCCGCCGCAACCGGCAAAGCGGGCTCGCAATCGCAACAAACCCCAGGTCAGGTGGATCGCCTCTCGCTCTACGCCTGTCCCCCTCTTTCGCTCGTTGGATTTAGCCAGAACTTATCAGCCAATTAATAGTATTTTTTTCTCATAATAAATTAGCATCAGCCAGACTTATCAGCCAAAGAAGAAGGCCGTCTCAGACGGCAAAAGAACATTTCTTCCTTAGTTTAATCAAAAAGAAAAGATCGTTGGCGTGTGAGCCTCCGAAACTGCAGTCTGCACACATAGGCACATTGGTGCACCGATCGAGCTGCTGTCTGTTGCGGCGGCAACTCGTCATCCGCTTCGTCGTGCTCCGGTGCAATGCACGCAATGCCACCAGCCGCCTGGCGTCACTCATGGTAACCGGTAAGGCTAAGCAGCCATACGAAGCTGTCGACAGTATTAGTATTTGGCTTATAAACCATGACTTATCAGCCAATGAACATTATTTTTCTCCAGCCAACAATACTTTTAGCCATAGCTTATAAGTCAAACGAGCCTAAACGAACAGGGCGTAAATGATCTCAAAGAAAATAATGAACCATATATAGACCATAGTGGTACGCAAGTTGCCAGGAAAAAAAAGAAACAAATGCCATGGGTGTCGTGTACCCCCTACCCCGTTGTCCGAAAGTCGTCTGGCGCCATGCGAGCCGGTCTGATCCTCTTCCCCAGCGGCACCAGTATATGGTGATGATGATGATCGCCGCAGCCTGTCGCCTCGCTCCACTCCAGTACACCACACCACACACGCAGCTGCGGCGTACGGGGCGCAGCGATGGAAGCCAACACCCTCCTCCTGCCCTGCACCGACGGCGCCGTCGCCGGCGCGGTCGACTTCCGCGGGCGGCCCGCGTCCCGGTCCGGCACGGGCCGATGGTCCGCCGCGATGTCGTCCTCGGTACGGCCTCTGTCCTCGCTGGGCACGCACACTGATGCTGCGGCCGGGGTTGACTAATCGAGAGGGGTCGGATCGGTGCAGGGGTGGAGATAGCGGAGAGGTTCGCGTACCACGGGGTGTCGGCGAACCTGATCAGCTACCTGACGGGGCCGCTGGGGGAGTCGACCGCGGGCGCGGCGGCCGCGATCAACGCGTGGAGCGGGGTGGCGACCATGCTGCCGCTGCTGATGGCGTGCGTGGCCGACGCCTGGCTCGGGCGGTACCGCACCATCGTCCTCGCCTCCCTCCTCTTCGTCGTGGTGAGCTCCTCTTTCTCTGCACTCCCGATTCTCTCCCCTGCCCCGCATGCCCGGATCGTTGCTTTTGACGTCTCCCATTTGGGCGAGACCGCGCGCGCTTTCGCATAAAAAGTGCGTCCACCTCGGCTGGGCTCGTGGATTTCGCCTGACCCGTTTCGCTTCACTGCAGAGCATGGGCATGCTGACCGTCTCCGCGCTCCCGGCGTTCCACCACGACGGCTGCAGCAGCTACGCTTCCAGATCGCTGGCGTGCTCCCCGTCCCCCGTGCAAGTGGCCGTCTTCTACGTCTCCCTGTACCTGGTGGCGCTCGCCGAGGCCGGGCACAAGCCCTGCGCGCAGGCGTTCGGCGCGGACCAGTTCGACCAGAACGACCCCAAGGAGTCCGTGTCCAGGAGCTCCTTTTTCAACTGGTGGTACTTCGGCATGTGCTCCGGCACCGCCGTCACCACCATGGTGTCCAGCTACATCCAGGACAACGTCAGCTGGGGCCTCGGCTTCGGCATCCCCTGCCTCGTCATGGTCTTCGCGCTCCTTATGTTCTTGCTCGGCACCAGGAATTACCGCTACTACACGGCCACCGAATCGAGCCCCTTTGCTCGCCTCGCCAGAGCTTTCGTTGCGCTCGTCAAAGGCTCCAAATCGAGCGAGTATGACGGGTAATTCGCTACCTGTTTTTGTCGACGTTTGGTTCTCGAGGTCGAGGGACACTAGTGAGTCAACGAAAGTTGTTTGATCATCTTGGCAGCACTCTTGCGAGCGACGACGCCGGGCACCGGGAAGAAGTGAAAGGCGTGCTGCGCCTGTTCCCCATCTGGGCGACGTGCATCATCTACGCCGTGATCTTCTCGCAGTCGTCCACGTTCTTCACGAAGCAGGCCGCGACGCTGGACCGGCGGATCGGCCCGGCGCTGCGCGTGCCGCCGGCGGCGCTGCAGACGTTCATCAGCGTGACCATCATGGTCTTCATCCCGGTCTACGACCGCGCGTTCGTGCCCCCTGGCGCGGCGGCTCACGCGCCTGTCGTCCGGCATCACCATGCTGCAGCGGATCGGCACGGGGCTCGTCCTGGCCCTGGTCGCCATGGTCGTGGCGGCGCTGGTGGAGATGCGGCGGCTCGGCGTGGCGAGGGACGCCGGGCTCGTGGACCAGCCCAAGGCGGCGCTGCCGATGAGCCTGTGGTGGATGGTGCCGCAGTACGTGTTGTTCGGGCTCTCGGACGTGTTCGCCATGATCGGCTTGCAGGAGTTCTTCTACGACCAGGTCCCCGACGCGCTGCGCAGCCTCGGGTTGGCCTTCTTCCTTAGCATCTTCGGCGTAGGCCACCTGTTCAGCAGCTTCATCATCTCCGCCATCCACGGAGCCACCAAGAAGAGCGGGGCGAGCTGGTTCTCCAACAACCTCAACCACGCGCACCTCGACTACTTCTACTGGCTGCTCGCCGGGCTCTGCGCCGTGGAGTTGGCCGCGTTCGTCATCGTCTCGCGCGTTTACGTGTATAAGAAGAGGGTGTCTCACAACAATAATGATGCTGTCATGTAGATCAGTAGACGTACTCTATGCTTAGTGCTTACGGTGCTGTGAATGGTGATTGCTGATATATATGATTGAGGTCAAGGTCAAGAGGTGTAAACACTGGGTACGCTAAACCTTGGTATGATATATATTTCCACAGTACTAAATAGCATCGGTAGCACCCGCAATAGCGTCTGCTACAGTGTAGCAGCCTTCTACCGCTACCACCACAAGGTAGCGGACCAAGGATAGCATGTTGAAACTTAGCTGCCGCTGTAGCACTTAGCATCCGCTATTAAAAGCCGCTATTACTGTTGTTAGGCCATTATTAACTATGTGCATGCTTCCATCAAGCATATCGCAGACCAGTGGATCGACGCCGGCGCGGCGAAGTTACGTCGTCTCTTGTGCGAGTAATCGGTTTGTATTTAAGTCTGCTAGGGGGGGAAAAGCTGCATGTATGATCATTTGCCCCACCTAGTGTGCCACATAGTGGCGCGTCGATGTAAAAACCTCAAATTTCTCGATCTTAATACAATGATGCACAAACCTTTTGTGTATTCAAGAAAAAAAACTATGTGCATGCTTCAAGTGATGATGTGGATGATTCCAACGATAATAGAAATGTTAAGATGGTGATTTGGACCATCATAAAGAATGATGGGATGATTAATAGTATCATTTTCAATTGATATGAGAATTTAATGATAATTTATATCCACGTGTCTTCTTTATATCTTATTCACTTATACTTCTAATTCATCTATATCTCATCTTTTATAATGACAGAGTGGGTAATTAGATATAAATTTAGGCAGTTAATTTAAAGTATTTTTAATGGCAGGATAGATAATTTAGATGTAAATTTAAGGTTATTTTTATGAATTTTTCATAATAATAGAGGTGAGTAATTTTTTATAAAGTAGAAACATCACGTGGCTATTATGAACTATATATGGTAATTAGAGTCTATCAAATTAAAGAATAAATGTTTCTGATTGTTGTGAGAGTTACTAAGATTCATCTTTTTTTTCTTTTTTTTCTTTTTTTTGAGGGGTTCATCTTTTTTCTTAGCACATTTTGGAAGAATCAACTTGAAAATTTCCTTATGATATCTAATTAGAAATAGCAAGATAAGCTTAAAAGGACATGGAACCCACAACTGGAAACGAGACCATGGGCGGGCTGAGATTGAGAGCCCATCTACCTTGATATGTATCAAGGGGATTATTGGGCTTTGGCTTAACAATTCGATCAACTAGGCCTGAAAGTTACTATTCTGTTCTATCTACTGAAGTTAAAGCGTCTTGATCCCAAAAAACAAAAAAAAAGGGGGTCTCCCGTAGTCTTTCTTAGACCAACTCTCTCTAAATTCTTATTTAGAGAACTATTTTAATAAAAATCGCTCTATATATCTTTTGATCTTTATAATTTTCTCTATATCTTGTTTATCATTCTAGAAAGCTAGCTCCACTATCTATCTTTGGGAATAGAGAATGGGATATTTGGAGAAATAGTTGAACAAGCTGTTGGAGGATTTTTTTTTTTACAGAAATCTTTATCTCTATCAATAAGAAGGGCTATAAAGAAGCTTTTAGAGCTGCTCTTATGAATACAGGCTAGTGTCTTGCAGCTACTGTAGATTTGTCCTTTTTGTCATGCCATGGTGTGATTACGAAAGATAGTTGACGACATGTTAGGACTTGGGAGATAGGCATCATGCAAAGGATATAGGAACCTCTTTTGCTTTAGAATATTTGTGTTTTTTTATGGGACTTTTACTCTAGCATGTCGATGAAGCCTAGAGTCGTATCCCGTAGGGCTGTTGGGAGGGCACTTGAGTATGCGTGGTTGACTAGATGCAAGTGATATCGGTCTGCTTATATTGATATAGCTTTGTTGGAAACTGTTCGTTGATTTGTTGTGAGAGAAAAACACTATAACATAGCTGATAAGTTCAAACCAACAAAGCCTTAAAAAATACAAAAATACCGATGAGTTTTTAAGGGAGCTAGATTCTTCACTCCACTTACTGTCAACTGGCATCCAGTATTCGTACAGGTTCAGGAAGAGGTTAACCTTTCGCTCCTGCGGTGAGTTGCCGTGGAGAAATTAAAGTTGAGAAAGAAATAGTTGGTGTTTGATAAAATTGCATTGGTGGAGTAGTACTGGTCCATTGTCTTTGCATTTCACTCTTGTGGACATCACGACAAAAGCTTGTAGGTAACACCTTAACAGGATGGGTTGTGAAACGTTCATATCAGACATTCAGACGACGGGTACCGAAGCCTAACATTTCCAGCACGGCCGGTTTCGTGCACTGGTCGGCAACACTTGCCATCCGTTGTTTTTCTCAAAAAATCCTACCTAGCAACCCGTTTGGCAAATCAAAAATGTCGGATATTGTTTAATAATAGATGTATTGGTCTTACCTTCCGACAAGACGAGCTTTATTTGTTATCACTTTGTGAAAATGTGAATTCCGTATGTGATGTGAATAAGAATGTATCCTCATTGAACAATGCAAACAGAAAACGAAAGAGAGCTCACGATGCGTTGTCGAAATTATGGCACTGTTGTTTAGGCCATATTTCGAGGGGGAGAATAGAAAGACTAGTTAAGAATGATATTCTTCCTACATTAGAGCTCTCAGATTTAGAACAATGTAGAGATTGCATAAAAGAAAAGTATGTAAAGAAAATTAAGAAAGATACCAAACGAAGCACAAGAATTCTACAGATTATTCACACAGATATCTGTGGTCCTTTTTCTGTGAAAAGTGTGGATGGTTATGATTCATTCATAACTTTCACAGACGATTACTCTCGGTTTGGCTACATTTATACAATTAAAGAAAGAACAGAAGTGTTGGATAAATTCAAAATATTTAAAGCAGAAATTGAAAATCAGCATGATTTAAAGATTAAGATAGTCAGGTCTGAACATGGGGGAGAGTACTACGGTCGGCATACCCCATATGGCCAAGTTTCTGGACCTTTTGCAAGGTTCTTACAGGAGAATGGCATAGTAGCCCAAAGATTCCACACAGGGCGAACCTCGGTGAGAATGAAGTGGTGAAAGGCGAACTGCACTGATGGATATGGTGCGTAGTATGATAAGTTACTCCACTTTACCGATGAGTATGTGGATGGAGGCGTTAAAACCGTCATTCATATTCTCAATAGAGTACAAGTAAGTCGGTGCCCAAAACACCAAGTATGAGTTGTGGAATGAAGAGTACCCTCACTTAACCACTTGCGTGTGTGGGGAGCCCTCTTTGAGGCTAAAGTTTTAACCCAAACATTGGGAAGCTAGATCCCAAAATAAAGTGAGTTGCCATTTCATTGGCTACCCAGAAAAGTCAAAAGTTTTTCGTTTCTACTGTCCTAACAGACATACAAAGTTTATGGAAACGAGACACGCTGTCTTCCTAGAGGCTGAAATGATTAGGGGGAGCATGGTAGCTCGAGAAATTGATCTTGAAGAGAAGCGGGTGTATGCACCCACTCCGATCATTCATGAGCCATTTTTCTCACTACCTGCTGTTACTGCACCGACAGTACAAGACAATGTGGTGCCAGCACATGTTGTTATCCCACCTGTGGCAACAATGAATGATGATGAGGAACCTGTTCCTCAGGATCCTATAGAAACTATTGCCACACATGAGGGGGAGCAACAACAGCCTCAAACAGAAAATGTGCCAAATGAGGAGGCCCTTAGAAGGTCTCAAAGAGTTAGAAAATAAGCTATTCCTGCTAATTATGAAGTGTACAACACTGAAGAATTTCAAATAGAGGATGATCCCACATCATTTGAAGAAGCCATGAAAAGTGATCATTCATCAAAGTGGCTTGAGGCCATGGAAGATGAAATGAGATCAATGAATGCAAATGAAGTTTGGGATTTGGAGATAATTCCTAAAGGAGCTAAAATAGTAGGCTGTAAATGGGTCTACAAAACAAAACTTGACTCTTAAGAGAATATAGAGAGATATAAAGCCTGACTTATGACAAAAGGCTTTACACAAAGAGAAGGGATTGATTACAATGAGACCTTTTCTCCAGTCTCATGTAAGGATTCCTTCAGAATCATAATGGCATTAGTGGCACATTACGATTTAGAATTACATCAGATGGATGTAAAGACGGCATTTCTCAATGGAGAATTAGAGAAAAATGTTTACATGGCACAACCGAAAGGTTTTGTCATGGAAGGAAAAGAACGTTTGGGATGCCGCCTAAAGAAATCCATTTATGGATTAAAACAAGCTTCAAGACAGTGGTACTTAAAGTTTGATCAGACAATAAAGAATTTTGGGTTTAAAGTTAATGTTGAGGACAATTGTGTCTACGCAAAGTTTAAGAATGGGAAGTTTATCTTCCTTGTCCTGTATATGGATGATATCTTACTTGCTAGTAGTGATGTCAGTCTACTACTGGAAACAAAGAAGTTTTTGTCCTCAAAATTTGATTTGAAAGATCTTGGTGAAGCTTCGTTTGTTCTAGGGATCGAGATTCACCGAGATAGAAGTAAATGGGTATTAGGACTGTCACAAAAGGCATACATAGAAAAAGTCTTAAATAAATTTAGTATGCACAAATGTAGTCCCTCACCTGCTCCTATAGTCAAGGGCGACAGATATGGGGATTTTCAATGCCCCAGGAACCAATATGAGATCGATCAAATGAAAGTGGTTCCATATGCTTCAGCTGTCGGAAGCTTGCAATATGCTCAAGTGTGTACGCGCCCTGACTTGGCATTTGTTACCGGGTTATTTGGTAGATTCCAGAGCAATCCTGGAATAGAACACTGGAAATTTGTAAAGAAAGTCTTGCGTTATTTGTAAGAAACGAAAGGCCTCATGATGACGTATAGAAGATCTGATTCACTCCATATAGTGGGATATTCAGATTCTGATTATGCGGGAGATAATAGAAAATCCACGTCTGGATATGTGTTTATTCTCGCAGGGGAGCTATTTCATGGAAAAGCTCAAAGCAAACCGTCACTACATCGTCCACAAT